TGAGGACCTGATGCCAGGGGCTTAAGTGGAGAGCAAATGTTTTGAGATTGATGAGGGCAATGAATGTACAAATGTGCTTCACACAATTGATGTACGTATGGATTGTGATAAGAGTTGTATGAGCCCCTAATAAAATGATAAAAAAAAAGAGAGAGAGACATCTAGGTGAATTGGCCCTGGCCAATGGACTTGTCATACTTTGAGGTCATTGCTTCCTGCTCCCCACACACATCCTGCTGTACCCTTTGTTTTATGATTTGATCATCAAGCCTTGGCATGAAGAACTTTAGTCAGATTCTGATCATGATGCCTTTCCCTTGGGGTATCTGATGGCAACTGTCAGCTACGTGGACAGGTGTGTACCATGTTTATCCCCAGTTATGGCTATACTAATTTTCTTCTCAAGGTGCCAGGTTTACTCTGATTTATTTAACTTTGGCTAGGGAGAGTGTAAAGATTATCAGATAGTGTCCATTATTCCAAGAGTGTCTCAGGCAGCACATTTTAGGAGAGAGAGGCTTCAGGTCAAGGAAGGCAGCAGAGTGAAGAGGAAGACAAGAATTGTGATGCAATTTTCATTGGTGTGAGGGAAGGGTGAGTGAGGCAGTGAGCCTTCTACTTTTTGTTAAGGCATTTGATTTGCTAGCTTAAAATTGCGTTTTTGTTTGAGATTTTGTGTTTGCTTTTTTCTACTAGGGAATTTTGCATTTCTGACTTTGATTTCTGGTTCTGGATTGGAACCTGGGATTCTACTTAGGCCTAGTGTTCATTTCAAAGCTGCAAAAGCCACTTACACTTGCCTGTAACACCTTTGCCTTCCCGTCTTACACAGGATATGATCTTTGGTCTTTTATTTGCATGCTCTACTACTCTTTTATTCATTGGAGAGAAGCAACTAAAGAGATCTGGGCTGACTTGCTGGCTACTTTCTTTGCTGGGCTCCAACTTATCTTCTATGTACACAGCTCTTAGAGTTCAAAGGCCTTTGGTGCCCTTTGCCCAACCTTTCACTCCTGTAACCAAGCCCCCATTGGTACATACAGGAGCAGAGGCGGGCCAGGACTAAGAGAAAAAAGAGAAGAGACTGAGGAAAGGTTATCAGAAGGCATAGAGGCCCACAGACGTACACTCCTCATCCCAGCCCTGACCACCTGCTTCTGTGGTCACAACAGAAAAACCTACTAGTGAGTTGGAATTAAGGCCTCGGACCTTTGGACAGTATTATCATTAACTACAATACCCAAGATGTCCCGAGAGATGGGAGAACTCACCCAAACCAGGCTGCAGAAGATCTGGATTCCACATAGCAGTGGCATCAGTGGGCTGCAACGGAGAAGGGGCTGTAAGTGGGGTTTGCTTGTGTGGGATTTGAGTGGTGGTGGTAGAGTGGGTAAAAGAAGAGAGCAAAATGTGCACCCTTTCCACCCCCCTCTTTGACTTAAAGGTAGGAAGAGATGAGTAACTGGATAAAATAGCTATAAGACAAAGGCTAATGTCATAGAAGGGGAAAGCAGAAAAAGAGAAAAAATAGGTAAAACAGAAAAAGAATAAAGGTTAGATCAATGGTTCTCAACCTTCCTAATGCCACAATCCTTTAATGCAGTTCCTCATGTTGTGGTGATCCCACAACCATAAAACTATTTTCGTTGCTACTTAATAACTGTAATTTTGCTACGGTTATGAATAGGGCAACCTCTGTGAAAGAAGGGGTTGAATGACCCACACGTTGAGAACCGCTGGGTTAGATAAAGACCAATTTAATCAGTGGGATCTGTGGTTAAGAACTTTTCCATACTTATCCAGCGATTATTTAGAACACTTCTTATTTGAAACTTGAGGTTTAAAAAATCATGGTCACTGGAATCGAGTTGATTATTCCAGTGACCCTATAGAACACAGTAGAACTGCTCCATAGGTTTTCTGAGGCTGCAGCTTGCTTCATATTTTTCCCACTGAGTTGCTAGTGGATTCCCACTGTGAACCTTTCAGTTAGCAGCCCAACACTTAGCTTAGCAGGGATCATTTTGAGGTTTCTAATTTGATGATGATAGGCTAGAATGTTTCATTTTGGTGATCTAAGTGAAGTGTCTAGAGTGCCTGAGTGAAATAAGGTGATGATTTCTGGCATCATATCTTAGGGGACACGTCAAAACAGTACCACACTACTTGTCACTATTGTGCCTCTCCTTTCCTAAGCTGCCTCTTATAAGTCTATACCTAACTGACTTGGAAAAGCTGGGTGTCATATTTCCCGCATTGCCTTCTTGGCACATTCCTGCATTGCCTTCTTTTGCTCTTCTGGACATTGGAGAAAGAAGACATTAATTCTCTTAGAGATAATCTCCTAATTTCATGTACACATTAAAAATTTAAGAAATGACAGGGGCAAAGGAGAAGCAAACCAAACAAAATATTTTTTGAAAGCTGGAGTGAACAAGGGACAGTTATGAACCAAGGTGCTTACAGTCCAAGGATTATGGTCTAAGGAGTCATAAGGTAGCCTGAGATAAGGCACTATAGACTGTAGAATGTAGACATCTCAAGGACATGCTGACCCAGGTTCCACTATTCTAATGCTAGAGGATGTCTAGACTCAAGACTAGTGAAGGAAGGAATAATCACTAAGGGAATCCAGAAAAGTGTAGTTTGTGGAATATAGTATATAGACAATTGAAGGTGGATGGAGGAGGAAAATGATGAGAGTCAACTTCCTGTTCTCCATTCTTCTCTCTACCAGTAGTTTCCCTCATTTATCAAGAGCCTAGATGAGAGGGAATTATGCTAATGCCCACTTACCCACCATTTTTGGTTCTTCCAAGGGGTCAACAGGGTTTAGCTGTGTGTTAGTCTGGGTAGACTAAAGAAACAAAATTCATAGCCACTAATGTGTACAAGAGAAAGCTTTATATAAAGAGTAACCAAAAATTGAGAAAACATCCCATCCCAGTCCAGATCAAGTCCATAAGTCCAATATTAGCCCATATGTCCAATACCAACCTAGAAATTCCTCTTCAGACTCATGCAACACATACAATGATGCTGAATGCAGGAAGATCATAGTCCAGTGGGTGGAAAGTCTTGTGGATCTAGTGGCAGTGGAGGCATCTCAGCACTGGCAGGGTCTCCACGTGGCTCTTCCAACTCCAGGGCTCTAGCGTAGCTCCATGAGTCTTGTCAACAGAAATGTTTAGCAGGGAGTGAGCGTGTATCTGGCCTCCAGTAAGATATTTATCTCTGTGCCTTCCAAAGAGGTCATCAAGCTGCGACCTGATTGACAGGCTAGACTCCACCCCTTCACTCTTAATAGTCTCAAGTTGACACCAGATTATTTAACTACCACAAGCTGGCAGGCAGGCAAGTCACTTGGCACACATAGGTACTTCATATATTCCTGGGAACTCTAACTTTCAGGTTAGAGAGCTAATTAACCAAAATAGCCCATTATAGTCTCTTTAATATAGAAGATACTAAATAAATATGTATGTACTTTAGTTCTGCATCTCCTTTTCATCAGCTATAAAACATAATTAATATTTACCTCCTAATGTTACTGGGATGATTACTGATTAAAATGTTTTAGACCCAGAGTGTCTAGGTTTGAGTCCCTTCTCTACCACCTCTTGCCTCTGTGACCATGGACAAGTTTCTTAACCCCTCTCTGTTTGTATCTTCTAACTTATAAATGAAGCTAGTAATTGTGCTGTGGTGATTAGATTGGCCACAGCATATAAACTGCTTAAATAAGTGTCCATCATATGCTCAGTAACTCAGTAACTGCTAGCTATAATCATTATTATTTAAACAAGAAAATAGATGCATGGTCTTATTGTCCAATCTCCTCAGTATCAAGCCCAGAGTCTGGAATACAATAGCTCCTTATCAAATGTTCATTATATGTCATTTCTATGCTACCATTCACTATAGCTAGATATGAAACTATACCATTCACTATAGCTAGATATGAAACTCTGGGTATACAAGATAATTACTCAATAGTTAACTGAATTATGTCAGGTCACAAATCTCAAAATCCTTGAGAAACCAAAAACCAAACTCACTGCCATGGAGTCAATTTTGACTCATAGTGACCTCATAGTTGTTGCCAAATCCTGTCCTCTATGACGTCTGTTCCACATCCCATGCAGGGGAGACCAGGCTGTTGATACCAGACAGGTCTGAAATACCTTGTTTGAACCAGTGACTGTATAAGATCTAGCTGGTCCCCACCACACACGGGGGCTAAGTGGATGAAAGAGGCAAACAATCTATTAATAAGGTTATTCAGAGGATTAAAATCATTAACATGTGTAAAGTGTTTGAACAGTTGTAGCCATTCTTCTGTGACTCTCTTTTCTCATTCAACACTATATTTATGTGAGTCCTGCATTGTTACATCAAGTTGTAGCTTGCTCATTCTCCTTTCTGTACAATATTCACTCATGCATTCTCACTATCATCAAGCCAATGCAGATTCATAGCAACCCTGTAGGACTAGTTAGTTAATTGTGTTAATTAGTTAATAGTTAACTAGTTAGTTAATTAACTAGTTAGTTAATTTTTAGTTAACCCTGAGTTAGTTAATTGTGCCAGCCTGGCCGATAATCACATGTGGGGCTGGTTGAAAGGCGGAGGGATAAATGGGTGGTGAAGCCTCGCCTTTCTAGTTCTCGGGTCTCTTGTTTTGTGATGGTTGCACCGGGTGCAGCTGCCTTAGCAGTTCCCTGCTTCAGCTTGCAAGATTGACTTCCTACAAGACATCCCCAAGGAGAAGCTATATGGACCTATCCTGATGCAGCCCTGGGTGCTGGAGCAGCCGTATGGAGACCCCTGCTAGTGCTGAGATGCTTGTTCGCTCACTGACTCAACTTTCCTCATGCAGTCGGCATTATTGCCTCTGTTTTGTGAGGTGAAGGACTTTGTGGACTGGTGTTGGGTATGGGTTAATGTTGGACTTGTGGGCTTGGGCAGCATTGGGTTGGGATGTTTTCGTGATGCACATTTTCTTTGTATAAATGAGTCGCTGTGGATTTGTTTCTCCAAAGTACCTAGACTAATACAGACAGGGTAGAACTGCTCCTGTGAATTTCTAAGACTGTAACTCTTTACAGGAGTAGAAAGCCCAGTCTTTCTCCCAAGGAGCAGCTTGTTTTGAATATCTGACTTTGCAGAAGCCCAATGCAAAAGTACTATGCCACTAAGGCTACATTTTATAAAAATCTCACAGTTCATTTACTATTGATGAGCATTTAGGTATTTTCTAATTTGGTTATGATGAAGAATTCTGCAGTGATTATTACACGTCTTATCCTTCTTATTATGAAATGTCTTGGCTGTTTTTCCATTGCCCTTCCCCATAAAATGTTAGAATCAGCTTTTATAGTCACACACACACCTTTTGGTATTTTGCTTGTAAGTACGATCAATCTATAAAATTGGTATGTTTCATATTGAATCTCCCCTAAACAAGGTGTGTCTTTCTATTTATTTTTACTTTTTTCATGTTACTGGGATAAAATTTCATAATGCCCCCCTAAAATTTCACAATTCAATATTTAAAGAGTCCATTGATTAAAGATGTGCAAAGCCCTTTATACTTTGTTTTTGTTGTAATTGTAAACAATACTTTTTAAAAAATAAACATTCACATTTTATACGTTTGTGGCTAGTATACACATTTCAAGTACAGATTGGACACACTGAACACTGATGACAAAAGATTAGATGATTTGTGGGATGACCTTAGGAACATCACACACGAAGAAAGCAAAAGAACATTTAAAAGACTGGAAAAAATAGAAGACCAAAACGGATGCCAAAAGAGAGTCTAAAACTTGCTCTTGAATACAGAGATACTAAAGCAAATAGAGGATATGATGAGGTAAATGATTTTAACAGAAAATTCCAAAGGGCAGTTTGAGAAATACAAACTAAAGCACTACAATGAAATGTGCAAAGACCTGCAATTAGAAAACCAAAGGGGAATATACTCACCATGTCACAAGCTGAAAGAACTAAAGAAAAAAAATCAAGCCTCAAGTTAAAATATTGAAGGGTTCTATGGGTAAACTATTGAATTGGGTAGGAAACATCAAAAGAAAATGGACAGAATACAGAGTCAGGAACTGGTCGACATTTAACTATTTCAAAAAGTAGCATATAATTAAAAAATGATATTCAAGGAAAAATTTCAAGGTGCATTGAGGCATTACCAAAAAACAAGGCTCAGGCAATTAACAGAATACCAATTGCAATGTTTCACCTCATACAGTACTGAATGCAGTCACTAGTCTATGTCAAGAAATTCGAGACAACTACCTGGCCAACCAAAATGTGTCCATTCTA